AGAGTGTTGTGCAGGCGTGGCGGGAGAGGAGGGTGGGGGACGCGCGACATGGAAGACCACCGACGCTGGCGCTACCGTGGCGCATCAGCGCGCAATTTTTGATGATCAAAGTGCCCAATTGGTATTGTGGCGCTTGATGCGAGATTTTAGGGTTTGCGCGAGGAGGACCCGCCATTCGTGCTCCCTCCCCTCCCTCGCTGCGCTCGGGGGGTCCCCCGAGCCGGGAGCACTCAGGCGGGCACTCTAAAGCCTCGTTCGCGCGATAAATACAGACGGCCTCCCCTCTTGGGGGAGGAGGAGTTGTGAGCAAAGCCTAACCCAAACCCAAGCCCAAACCCGAACCGAACCCAAACCCGAACCCTAACCGAACCCTAACCGAAACTCTAACCGACGCGTATCACTAAGACCGCGTGGGTTGGGAGGTTTGATACCTCCCTGGCCCGATATCCCAGAGGTTTGCAAACCTCGTTGTAGTCTCTACGTCCATGATGCAGAATCAGGCAGGTGCTGTGGTTTGCATGTCAAGATCTCACCCCAACGTCGTCATCGTAACTCAACGTTGAGCCCCAGTGAGAACCTACATGGGTTCCGCTGGTTTACGTCGGCGAAAGTCGTGTCAGAGCGGTTGAGGTCGGAAAGTCTCGGTTCATATTGGGCGGACGATTTCAGACGCTCAAACGCTGTCTCTAACTGACCTTATGGTGACTGGATCAGACGTGCATGTCCTGACACCGGTGACGTCGACGTACCTCTCGCTTGTCTCTAACGTGTCTCTAAAGTCTATGTACACCATTAGCTTGTGCTCACAAACCATTGCATGTGCCCTTTGGGCCAGCCACCCCAGGTGTCTGTGCGTGCGGCTGTTCGCTCCTACTACCCAGCCCACAAACTTCTACAATCACTTCGATCCACTGCCCCCGCCCGCTGATGCTGTTATGCTCTCCACCCCCAGTTATGCCATATTTCCCATTTGACCCCAGACTCAAGGGGTTTGGGATGAGGGGGAGGATGAGGATGAGTCGGACGCGAGGAGGTGTTGGGTGGATGCGCAGAGGAGCTCTTTGGTACGTGCACCAACATCGCACATTTGCATTTTCCGCACCATTCTTCCCTCTCCTTCACCATTTCAATCGCTCCTTCCTCAGTGAAGAGGAGTGTTATTTCATGCCCACCTTCTGCCACATTTTTCCCCTTTTCTCTCCATCAATCTCCTTTCTCGGTGAGGAGGGTAAGAATATGACGTCATGCGCTTTAAGCGCCGACGTTCAGATTCGCTCAAGGTACATTTTGTCTCTTTATTCACTACGCCTACCATCTCTATTCCCTTGCGTGCAAGCCGTCTCCTCTAGGGTTTCCAGACTTTGATGTTTAACACTTGATCTCATGCCTTGCAACTTTAGCATACTACAATCAAGATGTCGGCTCGTATATTGTAAGTACCTCCTTCTCGATACAGCTTCCTGACAAGCCCTCGGAGACAACTGCGTCAAAAAAGCCACGCGCCCCTTGCAAGATGACGCGGTGGCCTCCCGCACCAGACCTGAAGGGTGCAAAGTACGTGGAAATCCACTCACCGTGCTAGGTCCCGGGTTCACTCGCTCTAATAGGTGGGTTCATGCGTGCAAATGGTACACGGATGCCCATGGCACACTGGAGGCCTTCGAGGCGCACTACAAGACTCTGAGTTCCTCGTATCACAGGTAGGTCGCCCGCACTCTGTTAGTGTTGTGCAGGGCCGGGCCGGGCTCAAAACCCCGGGCTAGGGCCCAGCTTTGGAGGGCTCAGGCTCACTGAACCCTCGAGCCGGGCCCTAGTGGTGGGCTCGGGCTGGGTCCGGGTCGGGTCGGGCTCAAGCCCGGGCTTTAGGCCTATCACATATACATGAAGAATTAGCATTTGACATGTACCTCAGCTCATTTGTAGGCCTTACTACACATGAAAGAAAGAGTAAGCAGCATGTAAATGGCCACTTTTGGCGAAGAGAAGACGGTACGAACCCTGTGAGCCGCAGTCCTGAATCAGGCAGGTCTAGCGCTCACCCGACCGGCCGTGTCCATCTGCACCAGGTCCGCCGAGAGGCATCACTGTCAAGCTTTGTGAGTCGACCCTTACTTTTCACTTACCTTTCAGCATCTCGGACGGCTGTTCAAGGCCCTACGCGGTTAGATACAGAGGTCCTCCTCAAGCCTGGGCTTGAGGGCTGGGCTCGGGCTTGCAGACATTCAAGCCGGGCCCCCAAGCCCTGAAAGCCCGACGCCGGGCTGGGCTGGGCCGGGCTTTTGGGGGCCGGGTACCCGGGGCTTCAGGGCTTTGAGCCCGGCCTTGCACAACACTACACTCTGTTCCTGTGTCTGCTTGATTAATTCGTCTTCGCAGAAACTCGGACGTGTTGCTCCCTCGTTGACGGTACGTGAGGAGCACCGCTATTGAGTCCCATTGCTGAACCCTTCTGATGAGGCCACCTTCAGATTATCCCCAGTCTCGCAATCGGGCGCGTTCAAGTCGAACGTCGGAGGCATCGGCCTCCCACCTGTTTCAGTGGCTCGCAAGGTGGGCGGCTCCCATGCCAGTGGGATGAAAGGCTACTCCTGTCAGTATTCCACGTATCCAAACATTTCCAGTCTGCTCCCGCTCTATTCTGTAGTTCTCGATTGTAGCTGTATATAGCACCGTGTAGCCATACGTTCCCATACGACCGTATACAGTATTAATTAATTTGTATTCAATGACACATATCGACAACAACCATCCCTGCCCAACCAGACCCGAGTGCGACCCGAGCGTAACCAGCCGCACCCGATAACACACAAACTGACCCGATGTATGGTCGTATGGCATTGTGCGACCATATAGCCTTATCCGACCGCATACAGCCGAAGTGGGGATATGCACGGAAGTTCGTATTATTTCGGGGTTCCCTACTGCATACCGTTCTAATCGACCTGATACAGTAGAGACCATGTCGATTCTCACTGGGCCTGAGGAATGATCAGCGGCGATGACATCGATGACCTTGAGCTGGACGTCGAGGGGTATCCTGAGGTAGAGTCCCGCTGGCTGGTCATTGAGTGAAGACGCCATATACAGGTATGTAAGTCGATGAAAGAGGAGAACGGAAGCTGGAGTCGGCTGTCGAACATAGCGCCCGACCCTTCTCCCTGAGAAGACAAGGATGCCGATGAGCTCTGTTCTGTTCATGGCTTCTAATGCACACCTCCACGCTCCGGTCGCCCCACTGCTATCCCTTCGGTCCACCTAGGTATGATCACGATCGGAGAACACGCTAACAAGGTGGTTGAAGAACACAGGATCAATTAACGCTCTCGTGAGCTTGGACTCGATCCAGCCTCACGGACACCGACTTGCAAGTATAGTAGTAGTATGCGGCATGATAGCGCCGCAGGTAATACGACGCGTACTTCACCGTAACCTGTCCACCATCGCGTCATCATGGCACGCTCTGATTAACACGTAGTCTTCCACTCCCTCGACCCACTGTCTCTCAGACAGGTCGTGCGGGTATCTCACTTCGCCCTCCTTGCCCGCCCAGTCGAAGTCCACTATCCTCGTCCGCTTGCCCATGTCTTCTTCGTCTTCGTCCCCATTCCTGTCGTCCTCGATGATAATGTTTGGCAACCGGATGTCTCCATGGACCATACCCCTCTCATGCAGAATCACCAACGCGCTACGGACTGCGTCACGCACCCCATCAGGGACTTCATCCAGGTCTGCTGCGGTCCGTCCCTTGACGTAGTCCATCACCACCATCTTCCAAGGCCCATAACCGGTCCGTCCCGCCAAGCCGGGCACTGTCGACCAAACGTCGCCACAGTAGAGCAACATCGGTGCCCGACCGTGCTGTGCGAGGAGCTCGTGTGCTTCCTTGCCGTACCGCTCCACGAACTTGACGACGAGCTTGTGGCCGCGGTCGCTCTTGTCGGCAACGAGGAAGGCGACGCACGAGGGATCGTCCCCCTTCAGCGGCAGCTCATACGTGAACTCGAGCTTCTCCCCGCCCTCCAAAATGCACGAAGTCGCCAGAGGGAAGAATCGGCCCGTCGCGTCGTCCGGTGAGAAGGGCAGTTCTTCGTAATACGTTTCGAGCGCTTGTAGGGCACGGCGGAGGGCGTAAAATACGCGAGCGACACGTAAGATGTGGCCGTCGTCAATGGTGCGACTGCGCCCGAGCCAGATGTAGTCGGTCAAGCGGTGTACGATCGGGAGAGTGGTGAATACGGCCCCGCAAACGTTCACCCAAGGACCGGCGATGGAGATGATGAAAGATGGGCAGAAACATACTTGACGGATTGCCTGCCAGGTGTTCCACTTAGGTGTAAGAAACGGCCAGAGTGTGAGAAGCTGTCAAGCGTACCTTGCGCTCGGTACTAATCCAGTGCTCAATATACGAGAACGAGCCCTGTACGGATGGATCCGAGCCCGAGCCGAGTTCACCTTTCTCCTCGACGATGGCGAGCACAGCCTGTTCGAAGGGCGCCTCCCTCCTGTTGAGCACTACGATATGATCTGCAGAGCTCTTGTTCTTATTGACGGTTTGAATGACGACTCTGTCAAGCAGGTCCTTGAGCATTCCTCGGGTGTTCGTGCGCTCCGCTTCCAGGGTCGCTATCTCCGAGAGAGACTGCATGAAGCTGGCGGTGGTTGTAACGACATCGTCTGGGACTAGCAGCTTATCGTTTGCCACATCATTGACAAAGCTTGCAAAGGCGGGATGGAAGACCTCGACGGGAGGGGTGACCGGCAGGGGACCACTCCCGCCGTACCGACCGTCGAGGATAGGTACCTTTCCATCCTGATTGGCGCGGTAATCGCGGGGCCGAGCGCTGACCGATGGGCTCAATCGATCAGTTACGGCGACTGCACGGGCGAACCCTGCGCTAGGAGGTTGAGGATGTGATGAGAGGTAAGAGGTCGATACGTACTATTAGCCAGGGCAGTGAGAATACCGTCCTCTTCACCACGATGGTTCGTGTTGTCCACAGCCGGTTGTACATTTGTCGCAGGGGGGGCTTCCAATGACAGAATGAAGGCTGTCTCTAACCGGGGAAAGAAGGACGAAAGGGGTTTGTCTATTTGGTCGGATAGCACCTCGCAGAACTGTCGCAAGTCCGAATATTGAGATAAGCGAGCACAAAGGTCGGCCAAACCGTCGGGTTCTGAGGTGAGAAACTGACGAGGCTATCGATAACGCGAGATGTCAGATGAAGAGTGTAGGTGATGATGGGGCCCATCAGGCGTCAAACCTTCCATATGTCGATGTCAACCACGAGCAGTCCATAGCGTTTCGCTAGTTCACGAAGGAAGGCTCCGACAGTGATATATGGGTCGACGGTGTGCTCGTGCGCCCGTGACTTTACTTGTGCGCCTTGCCGGATCCAGTATCTGATGGTGAGCTCGTTAGGCATCTCATATTTGGCAGAGATATGTGGTGTAAGATACTCGACGCTAGAGACTGTGAGGGGGCGAGGTAGACTGTAGAGAGTGGCTGGAAAGTGCGAGTGGCTAGCAATAGCGAGCAGGTTCAATAGGGTGCGGTCAACAATGAAAATCATTTATAACGAACGGTTATTAACGGACGACCTCTTGGACCTCTTCTTAACAGCTGTTATTTACTGTTTATTAACCGAGCGCTAGAGTATGTTAATAATTGTTAAGAAGTTGTTAACCTGAGTAATAAACATCTCAGTCGACCGACAGGGCCCCTAGAACTTGGAGACACCTCGCCGCTGCACTGCATAATCGGCGAGGCATGATCACAATGAGATGAGTAGCGACGAGTTCCACTAACCCTTTGAGATCTTAATCAAGCCAATCTCACTGGCGGCTCTGAGCAGCGCCCAGCATAGATCAGAGGCACCAAGCTTGCAGTTCACAGCAGCACTACTCTGACCTACAGGTAAAGTCATGAAAGCGGTCTATTGTCGATATTGGAGTCAAAGGAACTCTCAAATGGGTCCTAATTTTGAACAATTCTTGACATGGCTATCCAGGCTCGTCCTTTCTAACTGTTTATAAACAGGTTATTAACTCGTTAATAATCCACGTGTTAACAATTCGGATTTGTTGCCCGCACCCTAAGGTTCACTCGCTCTCCTGGGTGTACACATGCAAATGTTACATTGATGTCAATGACACATCGGAGTCCTTCGAGGCACCTACTAGACCCTGAGTGCCTTGGCTTGCAGGGTAGGTCGCCCTAACTTTATTTCTGTGCCTGGCTGATCATCGTCTTGACGCAGAAACCTGGACATTTGCTATTTCGTAGATGGTACGTGTGGAGCACCTCCTTTGCCAAGCCCTACTGATGGACCCATCTTCGGAAGTATTGAACTCGGGCGCATTCAAGTCGAACGTCGGGAGTGTCGACCTCGCGACAGCATGCAGGGCTTCGATGTGGCCCCCGCGGCCCCTCCGGTGCGCATGCGGGTGCTATATCGAGTGCTGATCGCTACTGTATTCAATCCCATCCCACCCCTTCCAGCTTTGTCCCTCTGTATTCGAAAGCGCTCGATTGTAGCTGTATTACGATGTGTAGCAATACGATCTCATACAGTAATATACAGTATAATTCGGACGACGTGGAAACACTGGGCATCGAGTGCATACATGCCTAAACAAGCACGCCCGATTGAAAACAACCGTGCCCGACCTGACCCAACAGATTATGTATGGTACCGTGAATGAAAACGATGGAATACAACCACATACAGTGGAAGCAGGGACCAGTCCGAGTTGGCGGATACAGTCGGGGTTCCCGAGTTTGAACGGAAATATTCGACCCTATACAGCTGAGCCCATGTAAGTTCTCACTGGGGTTCAACCCCAGTGAGAATCGACACGGTTACGGTCGATATCATTCGATATCATTCGATTTGCGCCATGCACAGTCGGGCAAAACGGCCCTTTACAAAATCTGGACTATTCCCGACTTTTTTCGGATTGAGCGGTATGAGGTCGCGCAAGGCCTCCGATACAGAACTACGCCTGTTGTTTTGGGTCGACTGCCGCCATTAGCAACCGGGTTCGCTCGGGCATGTTCTGGGCTGATTTGTCTAGGGCTTGTTTCATTCGAAGCACACCATTGGTTGATAATTGTCCACGGTCTGTATTCAGTAGTACATGGATTTTATACTACACGGTACAATACAGGTACATATGCGCGAATTTGGAATCAATGTATGCCACTGGTGGTCGTACGGTGCATTTGGGCGCAGTAGATCACAGGCCGGCCCCGCTGCACTTTCCCTAGGTAGGCGTGCCACATTTGTCATGGCAGGGCTACCTCGCTGGCGGGTATGCATCACGAGCTTGAACCGGAGCTCGTGAGCTGTCGGACGCGGATAGCCAGACCGGGGGATGATGTAGAGACGAGGCGGCGAAGGAGCGGAAGTGTTCAAGTCGAAGTGTCGGGGAACGAGAGGGGAGAGCTATACTAGGATGTTCAGCATGCACGTACGCCGTTGCGAGGCA